GCGGAGTCGCGTTACAGTAGGTGGAGTGGGGTTACAGTAGGTGGAGTCAGGCTACAGTATGCGGAAGGACGGCTACCGGAAACATTTCACAAGCGTTGCAATCTGATAAGGCGATAGTCAAAGCATAGGACTGTAACTGCAGATGTTTTTCATGAGATAACCGCCGACGAAATGTTAGCCATGTGGCTATCGGATCGTCATAAGGTCACCGGAAGCCGTATTCGAAAATGTTTGACATAAGGTTATCAGGTCGTCATGGAGAAAAGGTCACCGGAAACCGTATTCGAAAATGTTTGACATAAGGTTATCAGATCGTCATGGAGAAAAGGTCACAGGAAGCAGTATTTGAAATGTTTGACATAAGATTATAATTAAATTACATAGAGAACATTCCAATATTCGTAAAGAATGTTCTTTATAGATGGGACACTTTTATCTAACTGTAGAGTGGGAATGAGATGGCTCTGTACAAGAAATGCAAGCAAATCTATATAGCAATTTTCGATGTGTTCCACGTTTTCGACCAGCACTCACCAGTCTTTGTCACTTCCGGGCAAGGATTCCGCCCTACGTATTATTAACAACATTGTACTGGTAAACATAACATAAAAACGATGAGACAGAACAATTCATAAGATATTGTAAGATAACATAACTCCTTAGTGCAGCACCAAAACGCGGTGACGTAGAGACCGTTGAAATCGTCGTTATGACTGAGTTTGAATCTGAAAAAAAATAACCAGTTCTTTCACAAGTGTCAACTGATTTGATCTTTTTCGTAATATTCGATTACTGCCATACTATGACCGACACAGACTCATATAAAACCACATGAAAAGATAAAACTATGCAGCTTTCGGCATTGGTCAATACCTGAAGAACGTACCTGTATTCGACCTCATTAAGCATCGTTTTAAGGTGACTGAATGCAAATACTGAAGTTATAATAGCTGGCGGCAGCCTACCGATGTGACAGCCAGTGCTGCTATCCTCACAAACAAGTGTGGTACCAATCTGACGAGCCAGGAGGGGTGGGAGGCTTGTTCAGCATGGTGCGTGGAAATCGATGCCATGTGTATTGCCGTTCGCCTCCCACCACTGCGCTACACGGGCCCATAAAACCGAATTAGAGATGAGTAATCGCTCACATAGACGAGATCGAGGATTTCACCTCTTTCATGCCGAGTGTTTTCCACGATGAGTGCACCAACTTCCAGGGATAAAGTTTAAAAGACAAAAACTGCAAATTAAACAAAAAACTAACGAGGTTAACAGAGTCCTCACTTTGGCGTGCGAGAGCTCCATTTCGTTCGATTGCCTCGACTGACGCCATATATTGTTCGAAAGAACTTGTACGTCCGCTTTCTCTTCCGATCTTCAACCACCTGTGGTACAGTATTTTATAAGGTCAGCAGTAGATGAAAATATGAACATCGATACGCTATTTATTTCATAGACTGTTGGCACCTCGAAAACGGAATATTGAAAGCTTAGCATTTAAAAATGCTGAGAACAGTGGAAAATTTTGAAAAACTGATGTATAGTGACCTAACTAACGCATACATGCTGAGGCAAAATCCATCTCTATCACCTACACAACCGCGTTCTTAGTTTTTTCCATCAGCCAGTTATGATGGGTGGTTATTTATTGTTAACCTAACCTCCGTTTTCTCATTTCAGAAAGAAACATGAAGTTTTTCTTAAGCCATTGAAACACAAAGTGTAAATATACGGTGAACAGATCCAACTCTAGTGAAACTACACATTTTACTATCAGTGGGATATAGCCATATGCAAACTACATTGCTCGACAACGTAGCAACAAAATGCTGCTTGCAAAATACATCTGGGAAAAACAAACTTCTACCTTGAAGAAGACCCCTCAATTGCATTGAATGTGCGATGGAGTGCCTGAGTGAGCCATTTCAACTCCCACTGCACTGCCGAGGCATCCAAGAACACCTGAAAAACGAATAGTTGGTGGCTACTAGCTATATCCCATGTGACATTAAATGCACATAGATTTTGAACAAAGCACGTCAAATAAGGAAAATAATTAACCTAGCGACACAGTACTATGAGCCACTCCTACCTTCTTAATCTCCTCGTTTTGTTTTTGGATGCTTTTTTTCATTTCCATTATTCCTCGCACAATCAATACTGGATCGAAATCATGATGATTTTCCGTGCTCTCGAGGCAAGGAAAGGAAACAGATGTGCAGATGAGCCAAAACTACAGCGAACACCAACGAAGGAAAATTAATACTGTTTGAATCACCATCTCTTCTGGAATGTGGTTATTCCGGAGAATTTCGTACCGCGTTTTTCAAGTCTTCCACGATTGTTCGCTGTTTCTCGTCCAGATTAAGCACCCTGAAATCCAGAAAACACAAAATATTTGAAGAAAAATTGATCGGTAGATGCTTATCGACTACACCTGCTGATGTGGCAATCTCAGCAACACACGAACGAGCTCCTCGCAAGTACAACGGAATTCTTTCCCAAACCTCTACATACAGTCGACATACCACGCAAGGTGCACCTGAAAGACCATGGCATGCTCCGTTCCACCAAACTTTAAGTTAAAATCCGTCGAATAAGTTTCTTTTCTCTCTTTAAAAAAAAGTCGCATCTTCAAACTCTTTCATACCTCTGCTACAAACGAAGCCAAAGACAAACAGAAAAACCACAATCGAACCTTCAGACACAGACGATCTTGTCGAGGAACAATCTCTACAAAGGGAAAATAACGTTCCACAAAACAGCGGCATCTTGTAACTCCAACAAAAACACTTATACGTAGGCTTCATGAATGTTGCGTCCACTCTCAGCGCATCTATTGGCCACATAGAGTGGTGCTGGAAGAGACGTTGAGAGATTCACGATTTGGTGGGCATATGTCAGTACATACGTCAAGCTTTCAAGTTCATCCATAGACAAATAGAGATCATCAACCAGTACAGCATATCGTGGAGTGACCGCAGATCCCTTAAGCGTGGAGCTTATATATAAGCACACTGGCTAGAAAGCATATTCAAACGCTCACATACTTGAAATATAAAGTGCGAATTTAAATAGGACTCTTTGAAAGCAGGATGTGTTATGCTCGAGTCCACAACCACTCCAGGAGGGATATTTTGAGAGATTAACACGCGCGATTGATCTACCTGAAGTCGGATGGACGTAACGAGGCATGCACGGACGGTACAAAGACAACACCACCACAATTTGTATCACATTTGATTTAATGTATCATCTTCGGGGATATAATTTGCAGAAACTTAAAAGGTGGAATAAAGGAGGACGAAATCAATAGCATTAATTAGCTCCGTGAAGACCTGCTCCTATCATGGCCCATTTGTAAATTAGCTAAGGCATTAAGAGTGTTCTACTTTTATGATCTAATAATGTATAATATAGCATGACATAATAGTATATGAAATTGTTAGATTCGTGTAAGAACTAGGAGGAAAATGCATTTGCGGCAGAACCAAACATGTTCATGAAAACCGAGGCGTAACAATGGAAAAGTTACTTACAAGTGGCCTCATGAATCTAATGTTGTGTTTCTTTTGAACCACTATAAAAACCAGCTTGATATCTTGAACACCATATTCTGAAAGTTTAAGCCGTAGTTGTGGAATGTCGTAGGTGAGCACCTAAATATGTTACGTAAGATTCGAAAACAGGTTTCTAATCAATATTCAAACTAACAGTTTTGAAAGATCGCTCCGAAATACCGCTCCGGTATATTATCAGACCCTTTGGTAATCGTCCATAGTGATGTTGAAAAAACTTTTACATAACATCAATAACAGTCTCGCACAATGTGGTCAGAGTCTACAACATTTAAAACTACAAAGAGCTAATTAAATACAGATCAACTAATGGCACCTCTTCCTTCCAATAGTTCTGGAAAAGATAGTCTCCAACAAAGTCGGTCGAATTTTTTTTGAAATTTGAAGCGCACTGCAACCGTTTAAAAATGAGAAAAAACCGTAACACAACTTTAAATGTTCACTGTAAACCCACGCCAAATACCACAGGACTCAAGTAGCCGCCCAAAAGCGATGAGAGATTGACGGAAAACCCAAGAAAGACGCGTCCTTCGCGAATCCATCCTCTAGAAGTAAGAATGTCTCCCATAAAGTTTTTTATCCATAAGAAAGGAAAAAGCAGTGGTTCAAGTGAAGTCTTCATATAATCACATACTAGCAGGAATACGCATGTAGTATCAGAAATTGTTGTTACATATTTTCAATGAGATATCTCTACGGAAGTCATCACTGAACACGGACGACTTACTGTCCATCTTCACTTGCAGCCATGCCGTTCAAATCAAGTTCGTAGTTCAAACCACCAAGTTTCACGTTCGTTTTCAAGACAGTATTCTCCACGATATGCCTATGGTTTTCTTTTACCACCTAAAAGCTACAGACATACCATTTTTACATGAGAAAGAACCCTTAATATTACCTTAATAGCAGTCGACAGTTTTACATCCTGTGTAACCATTTCGAGCTTTCTTTCCTATAACTTGATTTTTCTAGAACAAGTAAGACATATGCTTAACAGGAAACTAGACGTCTACAGAAGAATCAATTCAAAGAACAATGGAAAAACAAACTGTGCACTGATATATTACTGTCTGAGGATATGATCAGACAGTATTTACATTGGTTATCAGCAGCATATTTGAAACATTCTTCCAGTTTTGCTTCATTCGACGTTACCTGAAAAAAGTGTTAAAAACCAAACAACACAACAGGTCAATCGTTTCTTTGGGTTTACTGTGTTCAAAATGATACAATAAAGAAACAGTAAAAGAAATATTACCATTCCTTAAGCGAATATAAATTTGAAAGCAAAAGAAAAAGACAGACTACGCTCTCTACAAAAGCTTAAGCTCTCGAGCCACAAGAGCATTATCCCACTTCCTGAGCCGGATAATTCTTCGGCCGCTTCAAAAATCTTTTCTGTGAAGGGAAAGTTAGACTCATTGATTTATCAATTGGATCGCGAAGCTTCATCCCACGATGTGAAGCCTCATCGAGAAAAATTTCCTCGAAGTCCCTACAAGTATGAAATGCTTGATGAGTGATTGCTGATGGCACCGCTAGGGTGAAAATATTGGCTGAGAGAAAGGCAGAACGAGGGCCTCAGTGGTGCCGTACGTAACACATGAGCCATCGGAAAGGATATCAGCAGCACGATCTGGTTGAGGTGCAAGTTTTGCAAATATCTCATCATAATTATGAAGTGCTTAATTACGAAAAGCATAAAAACTATGAATAAGCTTACCACAGCAAGAATTCGCTGAAGCCTTTTCTCTCATTCGCATGCACAATTGCGTACAGTGCCCATACCTCACAATGGGCAGGTTTATAAAAGTGCTTTTCTGAGCTTCTTAAAAGTAAATTTGATGCAGATGAATAGTTTTTTACTATTCAACATGAGCACCTCCATTGTCGATTCCTTACAACTGCCGTAGTGTCAGCATAGCTAATTTTAGGCGAAAGTAAACGTCTTCCTCTTATCTAAACTTGATACATTTATACAAAAACTGTATAAATCAATGTGAATACCTACCTTCATGAGATTTCTAAGAATGCACAATCCAGCATTTCTGACGAACGACTTGCCATCAGATCCGAACAGCTTCAGCGCATGTGCTCCTCTTTTAATATTGACGTTCACTCGGTGCTACCATGCAACTCTAAACGATGCAATCAAATTTCTGAGGAGGTTTATACTTGAAAAAAAAACTGAAAACACCAACTTTTTTTGTTTTATCGCTTTGAGAAGACGACTGTTGGAAGATGGTAACTTCCTGCATTTCTCTGATCAAGCCCAACTCCATTGGATAGCTGTTCACACGGCCACCTTCGTGAACTTTAACAAGAGGTGCGTTTGGATATAATCAACAGTTATTTTAACAAGTTTTAACAATAAAGACCTTTACCAAAAATCTGTTAATCTTGTTCCTTACTTTAGACTGATCTTGTATTGCTCTTTGAAATATTAAAGAACAGATACCGTCACACCATTCAACTTGAAACTGTATATGAAATAAAATGATTAGAAATATCATGGATAATAATGACAAAAAGAAAAAGCGGTTCCTAGCTGCGATTTAGTATATAATGCTATGCCAACAATGGTTTGAAACCTAATGCTGACTGCGATTATTCTTGAATACTTAATTGTAACCTAACCTACAAGTTTATCTGATCAACAGAATTTTAAAAAATCTTTTTGACGCTGCTTACTGTAAACTTGGAAATGAACTAAACCGAGAATAACACATGCATTAACAGTCCTAGAAGAAATCCGTTCGCGAGTTACAGAGCCCATCATTGAATCATAAGGATGGAAGAAAAGCTGTGGTGCAGATTAGTGAACCCCTCAGAAAGGTTACCACTGGATTAAAGTATTTAGAAAGTTGTTAATCAGCAATACACCAACCTTGTTACCACTCGTATGATGCGTTCACATCTGCGGCTTAAGGTAATCTGTGGTTGCAATGCATAACATTTGAAGCTAATTAAAACAAAGCAATGCTTAACTTTCCATTCGCCGCCTATTATTTGGCCTGGGCTACAAGTTTTGCAAATATTTTAGAATCATTTTGCTTAAAACAACACATTTCCACACAGTAGAGACTGCTTTTTGTCCTATGCTATGGCACCAGCGCATAAATGCAGCAGCTCAAATCGTGAGGAAGAAAACCAACACAGGATAGTTCAACGCGGTGAGACTTTAATAATAACTGGAAGACGTATAAGGATCAAAACGTTTAGTTTGCTTTTTATTTATTGCCTAGTATTAGTTTTTACAACAAGGTATGAAGTGCGTTACAACAATTAAGACAGTGAAAGAGTTGTTACAAAACTTGGACTCCAGACCAGATTATAACCCGTGATTACCCTCTACAGGGACTCGCATATTGCCCACTGCACCACTGAGGTCTCTCAAATCTGGCCTGGGGTTAACGCTTGCAAAAGGTAAGTGTTTAAGAAAAGTTAGTTACTGTATGAGTAAAAATTTTTATCGGCTTAGGTAATGAGAGTGTTTAACTGAGTAGTTTGCGTGTCAATGTGACTTTTTCAGGCTCTAAGAAAACCGAAACAAATGAATCATCAATGAATAGATACTGTAACAAAAAACAGACTAAGCAAAATTTAAATAAGATGATTCAATTTTTCAAAAATTGAGCTGATGTGGAACGGTTCGACAAAGACAGAAATTGATTTACACATAAAGCCCATTTCGTGGTTACGTAGTGTTCAGTGTCTCTCTGTCTCTCGAGCATCTTTATATAGGACGTCGAGACAGTGTTTAGTTCCAGTCATCTCGATTAGACCACTAAGTGGCACTCACGACCTTCCTACTCGGTTGTTTAAATGAACACTTTTTCCAGCATTCTTTTAGAGAGCTGTAGTGATATCCCAGCCACACCAACGAATCTGAGCACTGGACTTGCAACGCTTAGATTCATAGAACAATTTGCCTGTGTTACACTTCTCGTATAAATTATCCTTTTGTTAGAAATGGATATTTTTGAGCGTTTGAATTTCGAAAACTGATCTAATATCGTGCATGTCGGCTATTTCAGAAAACAGCTGAGGCAATCTGTACTTAATGCGTTGAATTTACGATGTGATTGATGTATTTTAACCGATGTTTTACTCTCTTTTAAGAACACTAGGACTACTAAGCCACTATCCTTAACGTCTTTTGTAAGCTCATTGAATTCCTTCGTAAGACTCATCGAATTCGTAATTCATGAACTGCTTTTCCCTACAATTTGCTAGCGGTTTTATTGTCGATCCTGTTTTGGTAACCTTTCCATGCCTATCTTTTAATATAATAGTTACAAAAAGCTTCACTGCCGATTTACGAAGATATGGATAGAAATTTTTACTCGAGTTGGCATCTTCTCCAACTTCTCAGGTCAGGTGTAATTTAAACCATTTTGCTTGGTATATTCACCACAAATCAACAACATTTTAGGAACAGCTCGGAATCTTTGATATAGTTTTCCTTCTTTCGTGAGGATATCACCTATCCCGGCATTAGGAATGATCAGTACTTCTACGTTAAATGGCGATTAGGGCTGGGGACACGTGCATAAAAAAGCGGTACCACCTTCATTTTGCATTCTAAATATTTTCCTTCCCACAAACGGTTTACCGCTCAATCGTTGCCGAAAGGTGTGCCTGGATGTCGGTCTACGATGTACAGACGGGGATTCACCTCCGGCATAGCCTCCCAAGCTGTAACGCAAAACCTGACACCCTCGTAAAGTTCGGCTTTTCCGCCAGGAGGCCCATCTAAGGATAAACCAGTACCAGGCGCCATCACCGTCTTGGTATCAAAATAGTCGCATGGTGGCAAATCTTTCTCTGATCCACAAGAGAGGCGAGTGCCTGTGGTGGTGAGGACCTGGGGCAGACATAGGCCAGGCTGACTTCGGGACTCCAGGAAAACCCCACGGCTAAACGAGAAAAACTCCGAAAAGACAGAGATTATGTTGGAGCCCGCACGACCAGTGAAGAAAGGCTGCCCAAGTATGCAAGTAAGCAAGTAATAATTCCCATTTATGTATCCACCTTCAGTGGTTCTCTTTTACATTGCGCTGGAAAAATTTGCACACCGAAATCTTCCTGTTCATCGTTTTCTCCAACTGGTCA